AAATGGAGAAAGAAAAATTATTTTGATATTTTTATTCAATTAATTGGAAGAAATGACAGGGAAAAGGAAAATGTTGACAATATATTCAAAGGAAAGAGATAAGATTTCTTGTAAAAATGCTTCGTTTTGTCAATACACGCGTGCAATATGTTGTTTAAATTTATTATCATGAATTCAAGTTATGTGGAATTTAGTATCCTAATTACTTTTTTTGTGTGTGTCCGTTTAAAATTAAATTCAGGGAATTAAAAAAAAAAACAAACAAAAAATAAACAATTATGGGGTGTATGTTTTCTTTTTATTATTTTAATTTTATATTTGAAAAAGTTTTGGTAAGGTGAGTGCATCTATTTATCATAGCGTTTTTTGATTTGCATCGAGAAATTAGCACCTTTTTTTTTTTTTTTTTTTGTTAATGCCAATTCCCCACCCTGACAACCACCTGTTTTTTTTCCTTTGTTTTTATTTTTCTCTTTGATAATTGTTTGTTAGAGAAAGGACTAAAAAAATAGCAATATATTTATACAACTTTTCCTCTTCGATTTTTTTTTATTCCCGGCTTTAAAATTACGATATTTAACAAGAAAATAATAATAATAATAATCATTTTTATTGGTGATATTCGACTCTCTTCGTCCGCGCACGTGTTTTAGTAGCAGCAGTAGTAATCTCGATTTCTTCCTAGTTGTTGATTTAAGCTTTGAATATATATATATATATATATATATATCTCCGGCTGAGAATGTACAAAGAAAAAAAAGAAAAGAATGTTATATAAATAATAAATGATTTAAAAAATATACTCGTAAAATGGGGTTTTATATATTTTCATTTGGACAAAAAAAAACGAGAGAAAAAAAAATATTTTTTCACGTGAAAAACTGAAATTAATTTGGTTGTGTCACTGTGTGTGTGTTAATTAGTGTAATTAAAAATTGTTAGCATTCAACAACCCGTTTGAAGCGCGTGCATATTGACATGCTTTATTTTTTAATTGTATAAGAGAATTTATATATCTTTCTGGTTTAAATTAAAAATTGCTGTGTAAGAAGACGATTCCAACGAAGTTAATTTTTATAAGAATGTGCAAATTTTTCCAAACGGTTTTCTCATGACCTCGCCGTCGTAAATTAAATAATGTATATGAAGTTAAAAACGATGATGAAAATAAAAAAAAAAGAAAAAAGAGAGAGCAAACGGGAAACTAAAAATAAATAAATAAAATAAAACAGGTTCGGGATTTTATTCTATTTATGAGAAAGAGGAAACTATTGTCGTTGCATCCTCCCTTATGTGGAAACATGACTGTCCGTTTGTAACCTAAAGCTTTCTTTTCTTTTCTTTCTTTTTTTTTTTTTTTAATACATCACAATTGACTTTGTTATTACTTTCTTCAACTTTATTTAAAAGAAAAAAAAAGAAAAAACTGTTAAATAAAAAATAGTGAAACGCGTTGTTACCCGGGAAAAAGTAAGGAAAATTATAAAATTGCTTAAAAAAAAAAAAAAGAAAGAAAAAGTCTACCTGTGAGAGACCTGTCAATGGTGAGGATTTTAAAACGATTTTTTAAAAATAAGTTAGACATTTAATTTAACAAAAACAAAACAAAAAAAAACAAAAACTTTGACGCGTTAAAAATTCCTCAGTTGTATGCCTTATTTTTCCCCTTCCTTCATCTCCCTTCTCTAATTATTATAATAATTATTATTATTTACAATAATGACTGTGAACAGAGAAAGCAATAACTAATATTATAATATATGTTTATTTATTTGACTTAAAAAGACAAACAAAAATATTTTTATTTCAACGTGTTGAGGAATTCAGCCTTTGCTTCTTTTCGCTTTTTTCATAGTATCGTCTGGATTCAAGTAAAGTTTTTTTTTTTTTTTTTAAATTCAATTCGGATCTGTTCTTTTAATTAAATGGAATCATTTATTTTGACAACCACACCTACAAGAAAAGCCAACTGCATGTTGCTAAAGACTCTTCTAAAATGATCGACCATTTGTTTATCACTTTTCTCTCTCCATCATGTGCTGATCACAGCGAAACTACTGATAATGTTGTATAGTGTTACAGAAACTCACCGGGAACTTATTCCAAAGAAGGGATTTAAAACGTAACTTTTAAAAAAAAAAAAGAACAAACTTGGATTTTACCATTTTTCACCATGCCTCGTCTTTCAAAAATGGGTAGCCACCCAGAAATTGATGAGGTGCAGTCATCTTCAACCAGGGCAAGCGTTTGTGGCGATTTGGTGGGGACAGCGTTCTTTTGTCGAGGGCGCTCCATGTCCGTATGTTGCGGCCCCTGCGTATTTCGGGATGGAATACTAATACCATACATACCTCCATCACACCCGCCCACATTTGCAGGTAATTTGAAAAAAAAAAAAAAAAAAACTTTTTTCGTTGTTTTTATTCTAATCACGTTTTGAGTATGTTTATATTGTCTTTGTTTTGACCAGATTAAATGTTTCATATCTAACTATTGTCTCCAACAATGAATAAAAAAAAAAAGAAAAGAAAAAGTTGAAAAAATAAAGTCAATATATTTTACCTTATGGACGCCTTGTCGTGCAGCACCTGTTTTAGCAAGTTAGTGTTTTAGATTCTTAAGACGAGGTTCGGCTCTGATTGCTCCACAAGGCTTTGAGACTGATTACATACTTAGATTAGGTATTTCTTGTTTTATGAGCGACTCGTTGTGAAACGATCCAAACTGATTATTTTATGAAATTGTCGTGAATGTGATGTTCACTTGGAGGCCCCACACTTGTAATCTGGTGTCCTACTAAAAACTCTACATTTTTTCTTTCTCTCAGAATGCTATTATTATCTGTGAATTGCCATGACTTCTTGGAAAAAGATAGTCAAGTAGTTTTTCCGTGGTACTGAATTCTAAACAGGCCTCTCCAAGACTGGCAGCTTTCCACTGCTAGCCAGCCAGATTTAATCCATATTTTAATGCCACCTTTCCTCAGAATCATGGCTCTCCATATCCTTGATCATGTCTTTCAAGATCCGTTTCTTTATTAGCTTAATTGAATGATAGTATAATGCATTCTTCATGGTTTTGAGTTCAGTACTCCTCACATATTTCTTTATTATCTGAGAATTGCCACGATTTCTTGGGAAAGATAATGGAGTGGTTTCCCATTGCCTTCTCCTGGGTTAGGAATCCAGAGAAGTCCTCACGGATTTCTTTTTTCTTTATTATCCGTGAATTCCCATGACTTCTTGAGAAAGACAGTGGTGTGGTTTCTCATTGTCTTCTCCATTCAGAACGTAAGCGATCACGGCTCTCCACAGTTCCCCCCCTTTTTTTTGTTATCTGTGAATTGCCATTCTTCTTGGAAAAAGATAGAGACATGACTTTCAGTTGCTTTCTTCACGATTTTGAATTTGGTCTTCTCTTAGACTGACTGCGACCTAAGGCTTAGAGAGCCTAATTTCCTCCGCTATTTAAGTGCTAGGTAAAAAATATATGTATTCTTGTCTTTACCAAGTCCACTGTTTAATAAATAAATAAATACCAAATCTATCTGATGTTTAGAGAAAAGAGTTGAACAAACAAATCAGTCAATCATTTTCGTAGAAAAAACGGTTACCAAGCTGGTCTCACGTGCTGTTATTAACACTCTACTGGTTTCGATTCTCATTGAGTACGCCCCTACGATTTTGAAGTCGGGGACTTCTTTTTCTTCTGGTACAGGCAAATTGGAGAACCTTTGGTTGTTTTTATTCTGTATTTATTCTTTCAATTACATTGCACTACATATTTATAGATCTACCATTCGTCCTTGCTTTGAATATTGAGGCCACATATGGTCTCGTGCTCTTGCTTTATATTTAGAGAGTCTCGATAATATGGTCACGTGCTCTTGCTTTATATTTAGAGAGTCTCGATAAAATACAAACAAGAATCTGCAATTTTATTAGTCCTGGTCTGGCATCTCTGCTTCAGTAATTTTCCCATCGTCGTAATGTAGCTTCCCTGTGCCTTTTCTGTATATACTTTCATTGTAATTGTTCGGATGAGCTTTTTTTCTTTGGTAATTAAACTTTATGAATTTAAGTACTAGATTCGTGGCAAGGTCTCATACATTTACAGTTGAAATGGCTGGATGTAACCGTAAGTTCTACGCTAACAGTTTCTTTTCTCGCCTGTGGAATTCTTTCCGGATTCTTGATTTTTAGTCAACTTTGATCTTCGAAAACTGAATCTATTGTCTTGATTCCTCCTCTTTTATTGTTCTTGCTCCTTAATAATGTTTTCTTTTTCTTATTCTTACTCTGCAACCGCATATACCTTACTGGCTTTATTGTCGTGCTTGGAGTGAAATGATAAAAAAAAATGTATATGATCATACATAAATCATATGGTTTTAAATCTCTATAAATGTGTAGTGTTCATTTAGGACGTGGGCGATCGTTTTTTTTTTCTCCAGATTAGTCTTTTGTCTTTATGACTCTCCTCTTTCTGGCACTTGTTCCTCTATATTACTCACTACTTTACTTCCTTTCTCTTACCTTCTATGCAGACTTGTGTGTGTTAAATTCTCCACACCCTCTTTCTTCCCTATGTTTTGCTAATGTTTCTGTTACTTTTTTCTCATTGTTAGCATATTTCTTCATAGTTCTTTGCTATTTTAAAAAAATGTCACATCCTTCAGGACGTCAACTTTTATTACTCTCTCTCTCTCTCTCTCTCTCTCTAGTCTCTGCTTATTTTTTTATTATTATGAATGAATAACTATTCACCCTTGCAAAAGACACGGAGGTGGTTTCACGGTTTAAAAACTGGAGTTTTCCTTCTTTAGACTGGTTATCACTCAAGGCTGGAAAACTCTGTTTACCCTTCTATTTAACCCACAGCTGATGAGAGAAGAGACAGATTCCTACCTTTCCCTTTGTGCGAAACTAAATGCAACAGACTTGACCGAAATTTGATCTAGGTCGCAAGTACTTACTTTCCTTCCAAATTCTTCATTTGTCATGTGCTCTCTCTGTAGTACTCAGCATTCGTCAGTTGGTGAAACCACATCTCTCTTTTTTTCTTCATTTGAGACTAAATTATTCATCATTCTCTGTCATATCAGAGTGTAATGAATTTTATTCACTTATGTGCCATGCTTGATGCATGCTTAGGCAATCATGTATCTTTCGATACATGACTGACGAGGCAGATTTTTTCCCGTAGTAGGTTGCCATTTCTTTCTGCGGTAGACCAGTTACCATCCAAGTCTATAGAACCTGGTCTGTTTTGCTATTTACCCATAGCTGGCGGGAGGAGGAAGATGATTCATACGTTTCCCAAGGAATGTAAGTGAATGTAATGGATTCAAGTGGAATTTGAACTTGAATCCATTACTCAAACTCAAATTTTATTACCAATTACAAGACTATTTAATGAGCAGTTTGAAATGAGGCCTATATTTCACATCTGCCCTGGGTGTGTTGCTAGCTTTTTCTCAGACCTGATTCCTGGAATGAGGAATGTTATTCCTTGTAGGATTATCTCTCCCTATTAATTTGCTCACCCTCCTCTCCCAAATAAAGGTTTGCAATAAGCTATTAGCAATAATTCCTGAAGATGAAAAGATTAAGATCGAGAAGTCTTCGATTTCAGAGTCCCCCCCCCACATTGAATCTGAGCATATGGAAGAATATATTTATTGGTTTAATGTTTCTTGTGATCAGATGTGCCTTAAGATAAATTTCCGGCACTCCTCGTGAAGATAGGATTTATTATCAACCATTTGGGAGGATGGTACCGGTGTCACTCCAATGTCCGGCAAACAACCTCTAGTACCATTTTTATTATTCAGTTCTCTGGCCACGCTCAAGTCTGGCATAAGGCCACGATTTTTATTTTGTCTCATTTCACTGGGTTTATTAATTGCATACGTTGTTTATGTGCACTGGCCACCAAAAATGGCGAATGTGTTTTTTTTGTTTTTTTTTTTTTAAGGAAAGAATATTTTCACATGACAGTTATCGACATGGAAACCAAAATAGGTGATCAGAGTTTAAATCCAGGCCTACCTTGTTGCGTGTTTGCCTTTTGCATGGGAAAGGCATGAATCTACCATTTCACACCTTTACCAGCTATGGTTTAAATAGTAGACTAGTCAGTCTAGGAGAAGGACTGCTCTGAATTTAAAACAGTGGAGAACATAACGAGAAGCCACTTCACTTTCCCAAGAAATCATGGCAGTTCACAAATAATAAAATAAAAGCTATATGGTGAGGAGCCATGATCACCATCGTCCAAAAGGGACACAGTTTTATGATAAAAAAAAATCCATCTCTTTAATATACCATGTGTATCACGGATTTTACAAACATGCAAAAGGCCACATGGGTTTGTGAGAGAGTAGAAATTTTAATACCCGTACTTCAGCAAACTGTTGCAGGTGGTAACCATGTAATTTAAAAACGTGGTTTTACAAAAATCTGAGCACCAGCTGGAGCTACTCTCCACAGCTACAGTGTTCCACTAGGTTGTCATATTGGGTTGTTAGTTGTGAATTCCTTGATTTTCCAAAACTCAACTGTACTTCTCTTTCTTCTTTTTTTTATGTGTCATGTCCCTTCAGGACAGAGGCGATCATGGGTCTCTACTTCTTTCTGACCCTTGTAATTATTAATAATTTTTGTCTTTTTGTTATTTGCCCCAGACCCTGTTTCACCATCCACTTGCTCATGCCTATTAAGTATGTCACATATTGCTTTCTCCTGTCCCTCTTTCCCTCTATCCGTCCTGTGAGTATCAGATTTTCCAAGCCCTCCTTTCTCATTACGTGTCCCAGAAACTTCAGCTGCCTCCTTCTGATGTTAAGTATAAGTTTCTTCTTTGTTTCCATCTTTATTAAATTTTAAATTTCTCGACTCGTGACTTTTGGAGCTACTTAAAGTAATTTTTTTTTTTTTTTTAACATTGTCCTTTTTTTTTTAAGTCTTTTTGTCTTTTAATTTAATTACATTCTAGAGACATGTAGAAATAAATCTGATTGATTATCTTATAATAAAAACAGAAGCAGTGAATCGAGTTCAAATCCCAACCTAGTTTGTTGCATTCAATTTTACACAAAGAGAAAGATATGTCTCTGTTCTCTCCATAGTTATATATATATAAAACTGATATGTTCTGGAAAGAGATACATTTGATCAAAGTAGCTAAGCTAACCAAGTAGTACTCGGTAACAGTAATCGACTGGTACTCATCGTAACTGCAGGTAATAGGTGTGGACTAATAGGATAGCCAATGGGTGTTGTCATAGACTTAAACTCTGTCGTACCTACCTTGCCGTCTGTATTTATGATGGACACCAGCCAATCATATTCCAGTGAGGGGGAACTCGGGTGTATGCATATTCCATTATATCAATATATATAAGAGAATTAATACAAATTAAAGGTTTATCACTTAGCTGATTGATGTTACCTTCAGCATCTCAACTCCAGAGTTTCATAAGTGAACCCACCGGGAGTGACTCCATCCACTCGTCAGTAGGTATCAGCAATTGACCGTTTATATGTAAATCACAAGATTCTCATAATTCTCTTTGCAGTGTCAAGGATTGTATTTTTACCAAAAATACAATCAACAAAGTTATTTCTTGAAGATAAAGTTTTTAATACAAGCTGTGTTTGATACCCAGAGATAGAATATTAATAATAATAAGTAAAACTAAATGTTCCCTTTCCTTGTGTCCACTTGGTTTTTCACGGAAATTATGTCCACTTCTGAAGAATGGATGTAATGTCTGTGAAACCTAGAAAAGAGACAAAATAATTTGAACATTTACATTTTTCATTATAAATTTACTACTTTTAACCTTTCAGCTGACTACTTAGAATAATTAATTTCTGATAACTCCTTCTCTCATATATATATATATATATATATATATATATACTCTCATTTTCCAAGCCCACTTGGGGCTTATATTGCAACTATACTGAATGGACCTTAGTTACAGTTTCTGGGAGAAGGGGGGCATACCCTGTCATGACCATCAGTTTGAGCAATGCCAGAATGTTCAAAACCTCAGTCACAATGACTTGTAACTTTATGTTAGCAGAACCATCATTGGCTTTCAAACGATTCTGTCTACCCAACTTTACTTACAATGCTTTGTTTAACCCATGGTATAGTTTTCAGGCACTTTCCAAAGGTGCCTCACACTGGGATCACTTATTCATACTGATAACATCAAGAAGTCACCTTCCTGACCAATTGACCAAATTGGCCCTGCTATTTACCTTGAGCGCTTTGATGAAATCCAAAGAAGAATCAGCAATATTATTGGTCCTGATATAGCAGCTCAGCTTCAGTCACTTTTCCATCATCATCATGTTGCTTATCAGTGCCTTTTTTATAAATACTTTCTTGGTAATTGTTCAGGTGACCTTTTCACTATGGCATCTAAACTTTTTGAATTTTAGTGCATTACTAGACTGGTGTCAAGATATCATAAATTCACATGAACTGGCTAGGTGTAGCTGTAAGTTCTATGCTAAAAGTTTCTTTTCTCGCACTTCTCACTTGTGGAATTTTGTTCCACCTCCATGCTTTCCAGTCAACTTTAATCTGCAAAAATTTTAATGCAATGTCAATTGCTATCTACTGTCCTCCTGATTACTCTTTTTTTCTTCCCACTTACTATCAATGGTTCTAATCTTAAGTCTTCCACACCCTGTAACCCCTTACATCTTAGTGGCGTTATTGACCTCCATGGGATGAAACAGATTATATATATATATATATATATATATATATATATAATACAATTATTTTTACTTATTGTGGAATTCTTTCCTCAGATAAGGAACGTGATTTATTACGATTCTCTGTCATTTTCTCAGGTGCTTAGACGAAATGGATTTACTTAATTTTTTCCTACTCTGATTTAGTAAGTTCAAACAGAAAGAGATAATTGAGCTCTTCTAGAGCACATAATAAGGAAAGAGGGCTTGGAGAATTCGACACTTACAAGATATGTTGAAGGCAACAGGTAACTACTTAACTATCATTCTCAATAACAATCATGGCAATATATTGTTTATAGATATGGTTTATAAAAGAAAAGGAAGCTGTGGAGAACAGTTATCGCTTAAGTCATAAAGCGACATGATGCATAAAAGAGCTAAGCTGTGTTAATGGTTTGAACCATTAAATTTTTTTTTTTTAAGTAGTATTTAGTCCATTGTATTTCCAAGCCAAACTACTATCATAAACTTTCAAGATATGTTAGTGGGCGTAATAAGAAATGCTGATGTTGTATTTTGTACAATGGTCACATCCATATTTCAGTTACGGTCATAGTATCAGAAAATTGAAGTCTCTTCAAGGAATCAAATTTTGGTCCTTGGTATCTTCATTTGACAGAATATTAGAAAAGAGATGTTTAAAATTTTAAGACTGCTAGAATGAAATTTCAGAATTGAATTTTGCAGGAATTAATATTGGAGTCATTTAGCCTTGGATTAAGGGAATTAATAATAGCATTTAGAGTCATTATCAACAGACTATTTGCATTTTGTCTTTTTATATCTATTTAAAACTTTTCCTGTCTTTCTATCCATCTTTCTCACCATCTTGTTCTTTTAAATGCCTGTCTATTCATCTTGGTCATTGCAATGTGTCTCTATCCATTTTACATTTTCCAGTTCCAGTCTGTCAGTCTCATTGTTTCCCATGTCTGTCTGTCGGTCACATTCTTTCTCAAGCTTGTCTGTCAGATTCCGTCTTACCCACACCAGTCTATCTTCTTATTCTTTCCAGTGCCTGTCTGTCATTCTTGTTTGTTCCAATGCCTGTCTGTCAGACTCAGTCTTTTCAACACCGGTCTGTCTTTCTTTCTTTCCCATTCCTGTCTATCTTGATCTTTTCAGACCTATCTATCCATGTTGCTCTTTCCCATGCCTCTCTGTTGATCTCGTTCCTTCCCACACCTCTCTGTCAGTCGGTCGGCAGGGTTAGTTCCCACACCTCTCGGTCAGTTGGTTGGTCTCATTCCTTCCCACACCTCTCGGTCAGTCAGTCGGTCTCGTTCCTTCCCACACCTCTCGGTCAGTCGGTTGGTCTCATTCCTTCCCACACCTCTCGGTCAGTCAGTCGGTCTCGTCCCTTCCCACACCTCTCGGTCAGTCGGTCGGTCTCGTTCCTTCCCACACCTCTCGGTCGGTCGGTCTCGTTCCTTCCCGCGCCTCTCGGTCGGTCGGTCTTGTTCCTTCCCGCGCCTCTCGGTCGGTCGGTCTCGTTCCTTCCCGCGCCTCTCGGTCGGTCGGTCTCGTTCCTTCCCGCGCCTCTCTGTCTGTCGGTCTCGTTCCTTCACGCCTCTCTGTCTGTCGGTCTCGTTCCTTCCCGCCTCTCGTCCTCGGTCTGTCCGCCTCTCTGTCTTCCTTTCCTTCCACCTCTCTGTCTGTCGGTCTCGTTCCTTCCCACGCCTCTCTGTCTGTTGGTCTCGTTCCTCCCACGCCTCTCTGTCTGTCGGTCTCGTTCCTCCCCAGCGCCTCTCGGTCGGTCGGTCTCGTTCCTTCCCGCGCCTCTCGGTCGGTCGGTCTCGTTCCTTCCCACGCCTCTCTGTCTGTCGGTCTCGTTCCTTCCCACGCCTCTCTGTCTGTCGGTCTCGTTCCTTCCCACGCCTCTCTGTCTGTCGGTCTCGTTCCTCCCCACGCCTCTCTGTCTGTCGGTTGGTCTCATTCTTTCCAATGCCTGCTCATCCATCTTGGTCTTCTCAACACTTTCCTGTATGTCTTGTTTTTTTCCAGCATCTGTCTATCATTCTCGATCTTTCCATTCCTGTCTATCCATATCTACCTATCGGGACAGGTATGACGACATGGATTGTGCACAGATATGTATGAATCATGCATATATATATATATATATATATATGTGTGTGTATGTCCGTAATGTTTTCAACCTGTTGTAAGTATGGAAAAAAAAAAGTCAAGTATAAAAAAATACTATCCATTTTTAGATATTTCATCAAACACTGATTAAGTGTTGACTAAAGTTCTGAGATGAAAGCAAGTATCCTCATGTTTATTGTGTAATTGTTCTCAAGGTGTCTTTGGATTTATCACACATTCAGCAATCTTTTAATATTATTCTATTTCATTTTTATTTATTTTTGCTTGCTCTTGCCACAATTCCAGTTGAAACAATTTGCACTGTCCTGGGTATAACGATTAACTACATTTGCGTCTTGGGTAAAACAATAAATTACATCTGACAGCAAGGCTTTTGATCAGGAGGTTTTGAAGAGCATGGAACCACCTTTTAATTGTTGGTGTTCCCAGATCCACCTGGACCTGGGGTGGAGGCACCTGTCAGGGTCCCAGCTATGGGCAAATAGTTAACCACCCCCAAAGGGGTCAAAACACTATGAAAGTATAAAAATAGGTTTTATTATCAGCAATACTTTTTTGGAAAAATTATTAGCAGCAATACATTTTTGGAGAAATATTACCAACAATAGATTTTTGGAATAAAAAAGTATTACCAGCAATGAAAATCTTGTCGGCATTAAATAACCCATTGACGTTGATATGCCATAAAACAAAACAAACTGAACCAAACCAAACGAAGCAATTCACAGAACCACACAGGGAATTTTTTTTTATTCATATTTATTGATTAATGATTTCCTCTGCAAACATGCTTTTAAGCATTAACTTCAAAGACTAGAATTCCCCCCCACACGGCATATTCTTATAATTTGGCAAGGAATATTTAGAAAAAAATACCTAATAATAGTCAATATTTTTTCATACTAAAATTCATCTAATAAAAGACCACTCAAAATAGAGGGTTACTGTTAAAATGGCTAAGATGAATGAAGTGTGTGTTATACATGAAACAGAATGTGGTCAGAAGTGAAGATGAAGATGGTGGAAAGGAGGTTTGATAACGATTGACCCTTGACTTGAAGAGGTTAAGATTGTGATGTAGAGGTTTGCTATTAAAATGGTTGATGAATGAAGTATGCGATATGTGCAAAAGAGAAAGTGGTAGGAATTGAAAATAATGAAAAAGAAGAGATATAGCAATTGAACTTTGACTTGAAGAGGTTAAGAGTGTAGTGATCAGGGATGCATCCATGTGGGAATCTGTTCCACAAAGTGTCTGTTCACGGGGAAAAAGAAATCTGAGTAAAACTTTCAACTTACATTTGAAATCTGAGGGAAATAGGGATGATTTGACTCTGTGGAAGTAGTATGGTATGTCCTAACTGTAAAGGTCTGAACCTGTGAGACTAAAGAATGGAGAATTTATTTGAACATTTTCCATGCAAATAGCAAGAGTCTAGTGATAATCTTGTAATGTTGTGTCTGTGCAGAAAGAGCTTGTAGTATGGAACACTAAGCCATCTGCTAAAAAACTGCTTAAATGATTTTGAACTCTATCAAAGGAGTGGGGAGTAAAGATTGAGTAGCTTCAACCCAGGTCATATAGTATCATTTGTATAATGATTTGTCTGAACTTAGATAAAAACATGAATTTGCTTTATTATGAAAATTTAACTATGAATAACCATATTTTTTTTTTATTGTGTGTACTTCAGAGGATATAGTCTCAGAAAAGGGGGTTTTATGAGCTGGTTTCATACCAGTGGTAACTCAACCAGCAGGGTATAAGAAGCAGGGTGACTTTTTGGAGGAGCTGTTTGTTTTTTCTTCCTTTTACTTTTTTCTTCCTTTTTTTTCTTTGTTTCCTTTTTTTCTTTGTTTCCTTTTTTTCTTTGTTTCCTTTTTTTCTTTGTTTCCTTTCTTCTGTTTCTTTTTGTTTCCTTTTATTTTTCTTTGTTTCCTTTTTTCTTTGTTTCCTTTTGTGTATTTGAACTTTATGCAACATATGCACAATAAGCACATGGTTAAATTGTTAGAACATTATCTAATGACTATATATAGTTTGTCAAGGATTCTTGATAATACCTGCAGATTTTATAAGGAAGCAGAGATAACAAAATAAAACCTGTACATTTCACTCTAAAAGCCACTCCTACCTCATGTACTCTGTGGGTAAAATGGATTTTACAAGTATTCGAATATCCTAGTTTTTTTTTTTTTTCTTTCAAATCTTTTTTTTTAATCATTTTACCCCAAGCAAGGCAATAAATAGGTTACTGAGTGTTAGAGAATATGAGAAAAACTACTATTAAGGAGAGGGGACAATAAAAGAATAAGAATAAAGACAGAAAATAATGATTGGCATTGCATTTAAATTTTTGAAGATCAAAGTCAACAGGGAAGCATGAAGCCAGAAGAGAGTTCCACAGGAGAGAAATGTGAGAGAATAAAATGTTAGCATAGAACATATGGTTGCATCTAGCCATTTCAACTGCAAATAGATAAGACCTTGATGCCAATCTAGTACTGCATTTAAATTCTTGGGAACAAATCTTGAACCAAGACTTATTCTGTCTTTTACTTGCACACGAAGATATTAATTACTAAACATGTAGACTCTAGTTGGGTTTGGAATGCTTACCAAGAAATTTACATTTTTGAAACATTGCCACGTGCTGTGTTTATGTTGTTACCTAGCAAAGGTTACTGAATGAGGAATATCCAAAACGAAGTTTGGAAATGAAATGGTAATCTTTATAACATCAACAAAATACAATACTCGCCAGTGGCGTGAAGTAGGTAAACCACTGCTAGTGGTGGACTCTTTGGACAGCATATCACCCCCACTTACAATAGTGTCCAACATATTTATGAGGGTTGGGACATACCTATTAGTGTTCATAGGTACAGTATTTATCTATCTAGCTTGCTCTTTCTTTCTTTTGTAATCTAGAAAAGTTTACTGAATGAGGAATAACCAAACTGAAGGTTGGAAATGAAATAGTAATCTTTATAACTTCAACAAAATACAATACTCGCCAGCACCATGAAGTAGGTAAACCACTGCTAGCGGTGGACTACTTAGACAGCATATTACCCCCACTTACCATAGTGTCCAATGCATTCATGAGAATTGGGACATACCCATTAGTGTTTATAGGTAAGGTATATAACAGTTTAACATGCTTATTTTGTAACCTAGTGATTCAAGATTTTTTTCTTCAACAGTTGATTAGTGTCTACAGATGTTGACCAAATTTGTTTCCACCAAGCAAACTGGTTCCAATCCCCCAATTTGTGACCTTACTATCAGCTATACTACTCAATATGCTATGGAGGTACATGCTTGTTACGTGTATTTAGATGTAAACACACAAGGACAATCAGCAATCTTTAACATTTTGCCTGCAAAAGGCTGTGTTAAAAGAACTTTTTTTTTTCCCTTGACACCGCTATTATTTTAACTACCTTCACTCCTCGGCATTATTTATTATTTTAAAAAGTGATGATTAAAATTGTAATAAAACCTAAACATGATGAAATTGAATTTATAAGTTTTTGTTCTTTAGAATTTATAACAAAAATATTAAACACTATATAATAGATTGTTTATGTACAAGAATAATTTTATATTTGCAACATTCTAAAAACTAATACAATTGTATTAAAACTAATACAATATTTATCATTTTATAAAGAAATAAATATGAAAGCAATTTTTTATTCATAAATTTATAAACATTTACTAAATTATTAAAATATATGAACCAACTATAATGAAAACTTTATTCTTCACCATTTTATAAAGATCATATTGATTGGTAATTAGCCAATGTTCTGCCAACGATTTCAATAAAGGATATAATAAATAGTGTAAATAAACAATCTAGTAAAAAAATAGTGTAAATAAACAATTTAATAAATAAATAGTATTATTTTATTTTTGTTGTCAGTTCTGAAGTACAAAGAAAATTTATAAATCCATTTTGATATGTTTAAATTTTATTAAAATTCTAATCATTGCTTTTTAAAAGAATAAACATTACCGAGGAGTGAAGGTAGTTAAAATAATAGTGGTGTCAAGGGAAAAATCATCCTTTTGACAGACCATTTTTTTTGTGGGCAAGAAGGTTAAAGATTGCTGAAAATCTATATAAGAGTATACACCTTTGTGTGGGTGTGTTTACTTGAAGCAGAGGTCATTGGCTAATCAGGTGATTTTAAGATTGTAGATTTATTAAAAACGAAAAAAACAATACAGAAATGCTACATAATATCAATCTTCCTATATGAAAGTAACAATTTTCTCACAAATGAAGAATAAACTTGAGGTAAGGTAAGAGGTGTGGTTCTACAGAAGGATGCTGAGGATGGAGTTTGTGCATGACAGATAAGTTTTTACAGAAAAAGAGAACAAAAATTTGTACTTAAAATCAGAGAGAGAGAGTTTCAATTTCTGAAATACATAATAAGGTAAAAGGGCTTGGAGAATTTGACACTCGGGATATATAGAGAGGAAGGGAATGGGAGAGTAATTTATGTAAATGGATGATCAGAAACAAACTGAATAGTACAGGGGCAGACATTGTTAAAAACTATAAAGAATAAGAAACAGGGGAGAGCCATTGTTGCCAACAAGATAGAATACTCGCCAGAAGTAGGTAAACCACTGCTAGTGGTGGACTACTTAGACAGCATATTACCCTCACTTACCATAGTGTCCAATGTATTCATGAGGATTGGGACATACCCAAGGGACATGTTAGATAGAAGTACCTAGATGACAAGGTAAGCATTAGGAAAATATTTCTCTTCACACTACCTGTTTCTATATACACGTGTCAGAAATTTGAAAAAAAAATTAAATTTGTGACAAATATGTTAAGTACATTATAATTTGGTCATCGTTTTTTTTTTTTTTACGTGTAGATGTTTGGTGTATGTGTATGCATCAGTGGATGTGTAGGTGTTTATTCATATATATGGGACCATGTGTTGGCATTGGAAATTAAGCGTGTGTGAACTTGGGTAGGAGAGCTGACGTAAGCATGTACATAGCATATATATATATATATATATCATTTTAAGGTATGCTATATTTATGGGTAAAAGTGCTCAATATCAGGGATAGTGTGTATGTAAATATAAAAGTGAACATTGAAGTCAACACCCAGAGGTTACAGTCTGTTTCATGCTTGAACACAATCATCAGGCCATCTTTATATATATATATATATATATATATATATATATATATATATATACACTAGCTAAATTACCCATGCCTTACTGTGTGTCACACATTTTTTTTCTAAGAAAATGATTATTGATTTTAAATCATTGTTATAATTTGTGGAGAAAAATTTCAATATTACTCAATGATTTGTGGCCTCAATCTTCTGGTTTTCTCCTATATTTTGGATAGGAGTCATTCCCTTATTTAAATTTAATTTAAATCAAAGGGAAAAATATTTTCAGTGGGGGTAGTTGTGCAAAAACAACTTAACCTGAGCCCTTTGACATGTATTTGATGCAATACTTGACTGAATAAATTGATGAGCAGATTTCAACATTGATATGAGAGTTGTCACAACAAATATGTATTGTAAGGCACTACACATTTATTGGTGATTTCTTGCTCGACTTGGCATCCATATTGTTTCATTTTGATTTTGCTAATGTGACCTCCACCTTCTGGCTTTCTCCTTCTATATTTTGGATAGGATTCATTCCCTTGTTCAAATTTAAATTTATCTCAAAAGGAAAACAATTTCAGTGATCTGGGGTGATTTTTTTATTTAGTTTTTCTAATATCCTGATAGCTTTTCTTTTATGTCAATAAGTAGTATGTAGAAATTGTCCATAGTTATCATTGTTTCAAACTCTTTCAGCTAATTAACTCATTTAAGGAAGTTCACAGTTAATTACAAAACTTTCAATGAAAACGTTATAAAAGAGGCTGTAGTTAGCATTAGAAGGAAGGTCGACAAATGTTTTGTTTACGTATATATATATATATATATATATATATATATATATGGGTATATATATATATCAGCAGCAAATGCTTACAAAACCCAAATATGAATGACCGATATTTATATATTCCTGAACTTAGTAAATGCTTATGGGCTTTGAGAGAATATTAGATCTCAAACTCCCACTCAACCTCAAGTGGAACTCTTACATACAATTCATTGTAAAAGACACAGGTAAAATGATTAGTTCCCTGTACTGCTCCAGTAAGTACCTGACCCCCTCATGCTATCCTCTAGCTCAGGGGTTTTCAACCTTGTTTACCCCATGCACTTCTTTCACCATTTGTCAGAATGCCATCCCCCCCGTCCTTTTCAAGATGACAGGCCAAGTAGGTCAAATTCTATAATTGCTCTTCTCCTCCCCTAAACTTACCTTGGTTACAATTCACGCCTGAAAATCCAAAATTCACCTACTGGGAGTGAAATTCACCCCTGTTGTGAACCCTGCTCTAGCTGATCAGGCTGAAAATGGAGTACTGTTGTCATATTTGGTTGCGAGCTGCCCAGTCAAAACCATCTTCAACTAAGTCTTGTAGAAGAATTATTTTCCTCTTTCCAACCTCTCTCTCTCACAGGCAGGATGTGGCAAGTCACTCACTGCTCTATCACTACTTCCATGGAAAGTGCTTGGACGAACTCCATTGCTTAGTTCTGATATGTCTAACCTTCATGGCTATGACTCACCATGCTATGTACATAGTACCAAACCATACTGTCCATATTCCATCAATGAGAAGTAAGTTCCACTAACAGCTTCTTCCTGTAAACCACTTCCGTGTGAGATACACTCCCAAGAGGATGTTTCCCTGATTACTACAATCTTAACCTGTTCAAGTCTAGAGTTAACCATTATCTTCCACTCCTATCCATATAAATTACCCCTTAACATAACACTTTATTTTGAATCTACCTTGTAAAGGGTGAACCTTCCTGTAAAAAAAATCAAATATAAG